CTGGAACTCAAAAAATTAAATCCCCCAACAACAAATCTTCAAAGAAACAACTGCCCAATACATGTTTTTTTTCTGTCTCAAAGGCTACACAAATTCATTTCTTGGTCATCTCTTCTTTCAATTCAAAAAGAATCCACAAACATTCCCATCTTGTACAATTAACAATTTCTGAAGTGAAGCAATAAGGAGACCAGGGCAGTGGCTATTGGTGTGTCCTTTTAAGTAATCTGATAGAGAACAAGACACTTGTTATGGTTGTTCAGGGCATGATCAAAAGTTCCAAAATAAGCTAAAGGGAATGAACATTGGATGCTACATGAATGAGAAAATCATAATCACAGTCACGATGTTTACCACTAGTGTTTGTAGAGGTTTTTGGGAACTCTCCTCTGGATTATTCATTATTTCCCTTAGAAAATCTTATCAGAAAAAGTAGAGAACACACCCAAATAAATAAACTCAGAGATGAGAATGGAAACATAACCACAGAAACAACTAAGATTCAGAACATTATAAGGAAATACTTCTCAAACCTTTATGCTAATAAGTTTGAGAACTTGGCAGAAATGGACCTTTTCCTAGTAGATATTGACATGCTGAAACTAAACCCAGATGATTTTAAACCATCTTACCAGTCTCATATCAAGCATTGAAATAGAAACAGTGATAAGAGACCTCCCATCTAAGAAAAGCCCAGGACCAGATGGTTTTACAGCAGAATTCTACAAGGCCTTCAAAGCAGAGCTCACACCAATACTCCTACAACTCTTCAATGAAGTTGAAAGAGAAAGTTCACTACCGAACTCATTCTAGGAAGCCATCATAACCCTCATCCCAAAACCAGGTAGGGACTCATCAAAGAAAGAGAACTATAGACCCATTTCTTTGATGAACATTGATGCAAAACTTCTCAACGAAATTTTGGCCATCGACTTTAACAATTCATCCAAAAAATCATACACCATGATCAAGCAGGTTTCATTTCAGGAAGGCAAAGCTGGTTCAATATATGCAAATCAATTAATATAATTCATCACATCAAGAGGAGCAAGGATAAGAACCACATGGTTATATCAACAGATGCAGAAAATCATTTGACAAGATCCAACACCCCTTTATAATGAAGGCTCTGGAAAAATTAGGAATCCATGGAACATTCCTCAGTACAATAAAGGCCGTATTTGGCAAAACTACAGCCAGCATTATATTTAATGGTGAATAACTAAAGCCATTTCCTTTTAACTCAGGAATGAGACAAGGATTTCCACTCTCTCCACTTCTCTTCAATCTAGTATTAGACTGCCTAGTTACTGCAATAAGAAAAGATGCAAAAATAAAAGGAATCCAAATATGGAAAGAAGAAATATAACTCTTTCTCTTTGCAGATGACATGATCTTATATTTACAGTATCCCATAGATTCCACTCCCAAATTACTCAAGCTGATTCAAAACTTTGGCAAAGTAGCATGATATAAAATTAACCCTCAATAAACAATGGATTTTCTGTATGCCAACAATGAGAAAAGTGTGGCTGAAATTAGGAAAGCAATTCCATTCCTAATAGCCCCACAAAAATAAAATACCTAGGAAATAACCTACGAAGTGAAGGACCTCTATGATGAAAACTTTAAAACTTGACAAAGGAAATCATGACAGAACTTAGGAAGTGGCAAAAACTCCCATGCTCCTGGATTGGAAAGATCAACATAGTGAAAATGGCAATACTTCCCAAGGCTATCTAAAAATTCAATGTGATATCTATCAAAATTCCAACCTCATTCTTCAAGGAAATAGAAGAGGCTATCCAAACATTCATATGGAACAATAAAAATCCCCGAATAGCAAAAACGATACTCAATAGAAAGAACAGTGCTGGAGGAACATCAATACCAAATTTCAAACTCTACGACAAAGGCATAATAAACAAAACAGCTTGTTACTGACACAAGAACAGACCTCAGGACCAATGGAATAGAATTGAAAACCCAGAAATGAACCTACAGACCTATAGCCATCTAATCTTCGATAAGTGCTAAAAAATAGAATGTAAGAAAGACAGCCTCTTCAGTAAATGGTGCTGGCAAAATTTGTTAACTACTTGTAGAAAAATAACACTAGATCCTTATATATCACCCTGCATCAGAATCAACTCCAAATGGATCAAAGATCTCGGAGTCAAAGAAGACACTCTGAAATGTTTACAGGATGGAATAGGAGAAATCCTAGGTCTCCTTGGCACAGTGAAATTTTCTTAATCGAGACCCAAAAGCACAACAAACAAAAGACACGATGGAGAAACGGGACTGCATGAAATTACAGAGCTTGTGTATGGTAAAGGACATAGCTAGCAAGATCAATAGAAAGCCCACAGATTGGGAGAAGATCTT